CATAAATGCATTCAGGAACTAGAAGAAACTGACTTGGATACGCGCTTGTAGTATAGTGAATTAATGAATTTCTATGCAGCTTATGCTATGTTTAAAATGAGTGTTATATCCTGCAGGCATGTCATTGGCATGGTAAATAGGTGCTTGTCATGTACTATGTCAAAATATAGAAATGGGCAGATAATAAGAAATTGTGCAGTTCTCTACTGCATTGCTATCACCACACATCAGGGCATCACACTGTTATAGATGAATAGTGACAAAGGATGGTTGTGGTTGGAGATGTCAACGGGGCAGCGATGAGTGCTTCCCCAGTCCTTATCCCCCATCCTTTATCCCCATCCTATTCCCCATTTAGATGCGGTGGGGGTGTTCCCATGGGTTCTCCAGATTCTCCTAATCAATATATTTTATTTTAGAAAAATAAAATTATAATAATAACTAATTAACAATATCAAAATTTGTAAATAATAACAATAATATTTGTAAAGTTTATACGTCATAACAATATTCAAACACAAATATATCCAAATATAAACAATAATATTTGTTCATACTGTGTCATCTGGTTCAATCGAATCAAATTGCTCGTAATTAGCTCGTAATCGATTCAACCAAGGCTCAACCCAGCCCGATTTCAATTAGGTGGGTGGCTGGCCCGCCCAGTGTCTGGATTCGACATCTCGACCCACATATTGATGGGGTGGGTACGAGTATAGGTAAGAGTTCAGGGTGGGGAGTGCCCTACCCATCCTTGTCCCATAATTGCATAGGTAATAAAAAATGCCTCCCATCCCTATCCCATTAGGGGTGGGTCCTCGTGGTTACTCATACTCGTGAGTATAATTGACACTTCTAGTTGTGGTCAATAAATAACAAATGCTTTTAGTTCGACTATCGCTATTGTACAGGAAGGTGAATTCCTGAATTTATAAATTGATTGGACTATGGTAAGGAATAAAGAGGTACATGAAAACATTCATTGAGCAACCTGAAATGGCCACCGAGACCTATATAATATAAAAAATTGTTGCAAGAATGGGCTATTAAAAAAAGAAGAAATAGAAGGATAAAAAAGAGCTGAAGAATCTGTTGAAGCTTTTTAATCAATTATTTTTTAAGAATTACCTTACAAAGGATGGAACAGGAGAGCTTTGTGTAGTAGAGAGGGTTGATATGACTATTTTGACCAATAACTATCGTGACTCTTGGATGGTGAAGGATGATGATTCCAGGAGGAAATTAGTGTGCCTCTTCCTTGAATTTGCTCTGTTTATTATGGTACCCTTGAACTCTTTTCCAGTTGAGAGATGGAGTGTGCTCCCTATTCTCAAGATTCCATTTTAATGTTTCATAGATCAGTAATATTGTAGTAATAGGGGTTTAAGATCTAGTTAGTAAGCATCATTTAGATGGGTTTCCAGGAAATACCTGATGACAATGATGATCTCTGTACCACTTGATCATAGAGATTGTTGGTACATCTGCTTGAACTTTTTAAACTTTTATTCATACCTTGTAATGGAATCTTTTTTCATGTCAAATCTTGTTAAAAAACTGATTATCTGATATCTTGATTTGTTAAATATTGCCTATTGACTAGGAAGTCATTTTGATAGATTGATGATCACCCAAATGATCCAATAAACAAAGTAATAAAAGTCAATTGCATCAGTTAACTAGCATGCAACAGTGCTAACTTACTCGATTTCAATAAAATTCCAAGTTTGATCCCATATGCATCACCCAAGTGAATCATCAGAGGATTACCAATGTTTTCTTTGAAGAAAACTGAGATAGGGAAATGTCCTTTGATGCCAGTCTGTTACTTGATTTCACTTTTTTTCGTCTATGACTACCTGGTCCGGTACTATCAGTAAATCTTTTGAGCATATGGTGCAGCTTAGAGGTGTGAAACCTTTATCTCTTCCTGAAATGGCAAACTTGTTTACCAGTCTTCACTTGGCAGTTACCCCTGGAATTGTAAGTTTTATTTTATTTTTATCTAATTAAAATTTACATTTGTTCAAAATAATGACATTGTATTTTCACATATATTTGAAATAAAAACAATGTGTTTCCCTTCTCTTCAGGATGCAAATCCTAATAATCTGGTCGCATGCACTACCTTCTATTCAGAGAGCACCAGGGCCATGCTTTGCTTGGTAAGGATAAAAAGTTTTTTGTTACGTAGGTATTGGAATTTATGCCTTAGCTTTTGTTAAGCATCTTTGGGCCACATATCTAAGTGTTGACGCTGATCCTGTAGCCAGAGGAAACTTGTGACAAATTACTTTACACAGAAATTTTGCATTGTGAATATCTAGTTCATTTGGCTTCCTTATTAGGCCATTTAAAAGTCTCTTGCAATGAGTTGGCTTGTTGTATGCTTCATATTGCAGCCATGTTAATATTTGTTGCTTGTCATTTTCAAACCTTTCAAGATTTCAAAGCCCTGATGATTTATTGTGCAATTAGGTTCCATATGTATTCTTGCCAGCTGTCTTTCTGCCATATTCTCTGTTGCTTGTTATTTATTGAACTTAAATTTTGTATAGTCCTGATGATATATAACTACCACATGTACTCTTGTCACTGGCTATTGCTTCTCTTTTCCATTCACTTCCATTGTTCTATATCAACTTGTTGGTGCCAAAAGAAAGCCAGAAAACTTGGACCAGCATAGAACTGGAGTGAATATTATTCTGCTTGATATTATATTTCTTTTTCTTGTCCCTCATTTATTAGTCAGAAACTTGAATGCTGATTCAGAAAAAAGTGTGCCTGCTAACTCCAGTATAGGATATTGTCTAGTGTAAATGTTTCCATCATGACTGAAACTTTTGAAACTAGAAAATCCAAAAAAATTGAGCTACAATCTTTTTTCAGCCTTTTCACCATGCGAGTGTCCTGCATTAAAAAGCCTAAAACTTTTAGAGTCACAAATTTATCTTTTCACGCGATGATCGCCTGACAAGCCTATCTGATTTTAGATTGACTTCCTGCCTCCTATTATCTTCTGGTGATGTAAATTTGAAATGGTAACTAAACGAGCCCTTACTATTGTTTAAAATTTTCAAACTGATTTTAATTGGAAGTCTAATCTAAATAGAACATTTTTGTGGTTTTTTAGGTAGAATTTAGATTGGTCCAGTTTGCGGTTAATAACTTGTTTGCAGTTATTGCCTGGTATCTCTATTTTTTTTGGTTTGATCTCTAAGATATATATTTAAATTCAGATTAGAGTCGAAACGGATCCATCAGACAGAACCCAGCTTCGGATAACTATAGCATCAGGAGATCCGACACTGACATTTGAGTACGTGTCTCTAGAGTTGCCTGCTTTGGTTCCCAACTCAATGATCTAAAATTATATCACGTTTAACAGGTTAAAGGAGTGTATCAAGGAACATCTGGTCAGCATTCCCATGCAAACGCCACCTCCCGCTGTCTCACCAGTACAACCACAATCACCAGTTACACCTGCAGCATATAATGATCCTGGTGCTATGCTTGCTGGTCTACTCTGAGATCATAAGCTGTATCGCTTGGAAATTTTTTTTTTTTTTGGCTTTTGCCCATTTTAAAGTAGACTTCCCTGATGAGCCCCAGCAAATTTTTCATAAGAAGAGAACATCAATGGAGGACATTTTAGTGCAAGGGCAGGCGGGAGAAAGATGGAACTCATTTGTGATCAGTATAGCATTGGATATCAAATTCTTTGGGGCTTCTGCTTTAGTCCCGTTGTCAAGGTTTTGCCATATTGTGTGTATGATTTTTCTTTTTTAAATCTTCTTCTTCTTCTTCTTCTTCTTCTATGGGGTCTGATTGTTGAAGTCTGCAAGTAAATTTCCGTGGAGCTTTCGACTCGGTGGTTTTCACAAAAGCCATTGTAAATTTCTGTTTTCTGACATCTATTTAATCTCATGTATCAGAAACACAGTAGGGCAAATTATTATAGCTTATCTTGGTTTTCTAGCGGGAACAATCTGGTGGTTCGTTTCACTTGTTAACAACTTGCAATCAGATTATTGTGTCCTCTTTTTCAGTGCTGTAGAAATACTTTTGGACTACGATTCTCCATCTTATGAATGAATGTTCACCAGTGTCTCCCCCTGTTTCGCTACGCCAGATGCCTGCAAGGCAACAACATATGGTTAAACCCTAAATCCAATTCTCTCTCTCTCTCTCTTGTCATCAAAGTTCAGGGATCCCAGTCTGAAACGTTCAGTGCTAGCAATGGCGACGTTGGAGATGGAAGCGCTGAAGCGGAGGAACGATGAGCTGGTGAGGAATAAACAAAACATTTGGATATTCTTGTTTCCTTTGCCTATGCCGAGGATTGTGGAATCATTTGCAAACTTTACCTTACTCTGAAAGGATTCATCCAATTGCAAAGATTCGCATATATATGATCGTCATAGCTTGTACCTACAATATCCTTAGATTCTTCATTAGAACAGACAATAAAATTAAATTTTAATATCAATGACTTCATCTTATCACAATAAATATGTATCCTATTTGCAATCGTTATCGAAAAGCAAGTAATCACACTAGCAGATGCTTAAAAATAAAACTTATTCTGCTGAAATCTCAGATTTGCTTGGGAATATCTTTGCAAAGAATTATTTCTAAGATTTAGCAATCAATCGCTTGGAAAAAGGCATATCTTTGCTTTCAGATGTTTCAATATTTGTTCTTCTAGTTTCACTTTTATCAATGCCTAGTGTCCAAATTTTACTTCATCTATCAATGCTCTTTCGATTCAGAAACTTCTCCATCAACATGATCAAATAACGACATCTATTGCAACAACACAAACACAAAGCTAAAGTTAAACTCCAACTTTAATCTACTTTCTACCTTGCTTTCGTAGATCTTTTGACTTTTTAGGGATATCTGACCTTTTGAATTTATATTTAGAACTCTATCCTTTTGACTCTGATACTAGATAATTAGGTAAGTAAAAAATAAAAGAAAAGAAAAGACAGGAAATATAAAAGAATTAATCTTTTTGTATACACTTACAAGAATTAAGTGTAAGAAGATCCAATTTACATCTAAAAGATAAGATAAACAAACTTAAAACTCCTAAAATAATGATACTCTCATCTTATCATCATTTACAAAAAAAATAAAGTAATCTAAATCAGTTAATTATGGCAACTTACAAAACCACAACAGAGTTATCCTGAACGAAATACTTATTCAGCAACTAAATACTTTTCATGGTAAGTGCGCACAGGCTTACTCACGATGTCCTGCTACGCCGGCTTTGGATATCCTTCAGCTTTAACCGCAACTTCATGTTACCAGCCTGGACTATGATTTCTCCCTTTGTTTCTTCCACTTTTGAAACGACGACTTGCATTCCGAGGGAAGGAACATGGACCATGTCACCAGCCACTGGGATTTTGCTTTGCTCATCTACAATACAACGACAATAAACATGTCACGAAAATGCCAATCAACTTTGCAGTAACTTAAAGTGCAACATAATTACCCACCAACCCCAGCTGCTTTGCTTGCTTCTGACGACAGGCTTCTTCCTCCTGGCGAGATATCACATGATTTTGACTGCTCAAGATCCTCTGCTGACTGCCTACTGCTAACTACTCTCCCCTTCTCCGACTCCACTTCAGAAGACTCACGAAACTGCAGCTGCTGCTGCAGCAGCTTGCTACGAAGAAGAGAACGTGCGACAGAGGCACTGTCCAAAACTGCTCTGGTCTTCCTGTTCTTCAGCTTTACAGCATGATCTGCTATTTTCTTCTTTGCCACCAACAAGCTTTCCCGTAGTTCTTTTGACAGCCTAAAATCATACAAGCAAAGGTTACCCTACCAGCATGGTGATGATGCAGCTAATATTAAAATTTGCCTTTTCATACTGCAGTCTGCTCATTGAATGACACAACACGGAAGGAATGAAAACACATAAACCAAGCCATACAAATTGATAATATAGTTGTAAATGGTTATACATGTGTTTCTGCCACTTTCTGGATCCAGATCCAAATATGTTGAGGTGCATTCCAATCTCGATATCCAAATATCTCCATATTCTCCAAAGGATTAACATTATACATCCTCAACAAAAAGATCAAGTGACTATAAGATGGTTTTCTTCTTCATACAGTTTACCTTTTATTTCCCATCCATCCTTTTATTCTTTGCATCGCCTTCTAATCTTCTCACAGCAAGATTCTCAATTTCGATGTGTACCACCCGGTACAGGGGTACATATCGGTCCGAGAGGATACCGATACGCGGACCATCCTTCATCGGACAGTACTAACGTTTTGACCATTACCGAGGCATACCAATCGCATACCGACAGTATTTGATTCATTCACAAGTCCACCTTAAATCTGTCCGAGAGGATACCGATACAGATCGGTATTCAAAACCCTGTCCCACAGTATTTGATTCATTCACAAGTCCATCTTAAATCTTGTTTGAAATTTTTATTCATTGTATATTCAATTTGCAACTGTCCTTAAAAAAACACACATTATTCATCAAATACCTATCTCCACAGAAACAAAAAGAGAATCAATTATCTGTATCTACATCCTTTAATTCAAAGTGACCAAGGACTTATTTTTCCAGTGTCCAATGTGTGTTAGATTCTTCTATTGGACTTATCCTTTAACTGTCATTTTGTCTTCTTAATTGGACAGCTTTAATTCTATTGACTATTGTCCCTAGACTAGGATAAGACATTGCAAATGGTCAAGCAAATAATCCTGTAGATAGAAGGCCGTATGTAAACACCCATTGCAAAATGAGACCTAAAACTATTTCAGGGTAGCCATCAGTGCCCAACCAACAATTGACAAGTGATTTATCTAAAGTTTCATTAGTTTGTCTCTTTTACACCTGCATGAAAATAGGTTTAAATTTGGTGATAGATATTAGTCCTCTGATCTCCAATTCACACAGAATTTTTTTTTGTTTTTACTGACTCACTATTGACTCCAACCTTACAGTTCCTTCAAGATTTGGTATAATCTTACATGTACATGACTTAAAACCAGAAGAAAAATAACAAGATGCAGATATCAGTGTATCATACTCTAATAATTGAACCAAAAATATCAATTTACCTCATGAAGAAGACATTTCAGTTTCATATATTCTTATATAGACACAAATAAAACTTTGGCAAAAGGAGAAACCTCACATTAAATAGTGTTCTGCCTCTTGAAGATGTTCTTGGAAGCTTTGTTTAAATCTTTCCATATCAACTATAACCTGCATGAAACAACTAATATACAAATCATAAGTAACTATATGAGAATCCTACGCTGTTGATTTTTGAGAGATTACAGAAACCATTCAATTTAGAATTCCAAGAACAGAAAAATATGTCATCTTTGAACTTCCACCATGGCAAAATATGACAAGAGTTCCCCTTATATGACACTTCAGAGTTTACTATGGAGTATCAACAAAATTAGAAAGAGAAAAATCTTTTACCACAGATGCAGACCTCAATAATTTTCTAAAGAGGACAATCGGGTAGTTTCTCTTGGAAATTAACGTACAATACAGAAAATTAGCTAATTACATTTCCTGCATGTTCATCCTTAGCGCTTTCTTCTCTCCTTATAAAGTCTCCACTAAAATTAATCCTCCTGTTTTATTGTAATCTCTATTTCATTAACTGGATAACATTCAATGTGCTTCAGGCTACATTTGCCTTGAAAAGGTCTCTCACCTCTATCAAGAATCTCCCTCATTCTTGGTTGGTTCCTTTTTCATATTTGAAATCTTTTTCATCTAAAGAAATAGCATATATCCAGATTAAGAATAATTAGTTGACAGATGATGCGGTCATCGCAAGAAATTTATTTTTGGTACACCAAGAGTTAAATCAAATATTCAGATACACTTTTGTAAATCTTACATAGTACTATAGTAGTACAAATAATACCCTAGAAAGGTAATAAATACAGTTAATTATTTTTAATGCATTTAATATCAAATTATTTACAAGCAAAAAATGGGCATGTAATGACTTGGTGAATCAATTTACACAGATAAATGAAGCAGTCAGATCTTCGATCATAAGTAACTCTGAGAATCCTATGTTGATTTTTGAGAGATCAAAAAAACCATCCAATTTAGAATTCCAAGAATGGAGAAATATGTCGACTTCAAACTTCTAGTATGACAAAATATGCCAAAAGTTCCCTTATGTGACAGTTCAGAGTCTATTATGATGAGCAATCAATAAACTTTCAGAAAAATCTTTCATGATAGATGTAGATGTCAAGAATTGTCTAAAGAAGACAATCTGGTAGTTACATTCAAGGACTGGCATCTAGTGCTGACCGATGGTGCCGGTCCTCGCTAGGACTGGTTCATACTGATCGGCGTACTGAATATCAGAACATCAGGTACGTACTGATTTTTGGGAAAATGGCAAAAAAAAAGGATGAAAAATAAAAATCCCTTTTAGGGTTTCTAATCCTTATTTAATGGTATAACGATTCTATTTCAATAAGAATAGAGTGTAAATGAGTCATATGTCAATAGTAATGGTAGGTTATTAGGATGAGATAACAAATTTATCTTTTTTGGATCGAGGAGCAACATCATCACATGGTCCTCCGTTGCTTACGTTGATTTAAAATACGAGTTGAGATATTTGATTATGAACTTTATAATTTCAGCAAATTAAGTAATAACATAAGAAACTTGTAAATACTTGCTTCTACAACCAAAATAAACATCGGGACTCCATAGCCAATGGATCGGGATACTTGATTCTATGAATTTGTATATTAATATGATATGTTTATCAAATCCAACTCCCATTACATATTATATCAATTTGCATCCTCAACACCATTGATGCATCAGCGTGTTATCAGTTATGTGATTGTCATTAATAACATGTGTCCGATGGGGACAAGTATGACTATAGCATGCAAGGGTGGGGAAGTTGAGTACTCCGAAACTTTTGCTTTTGCAGGTGACTTGTTGCTCTGAATTGTAAGAACAATTAGTCTCGAAAAAAATGACCGTCACCTTAAATTTGTTGACTTAAGGATACGTCATAATATAAAGGTTGCAAATACAGTGAGTGCCTATCTGTGTCAACATCGTAAAGGTTGTTGCATCTCCTCTAAGTCGTCGACACTTAAGAGTATCTAAGTTGTCGACACCTAGATCTATGTTAGATCTTATGAACATGGATCTTAACTGATTCCAGTATAGAGCTAGGTCGTCACCCAAAAGTGACGCGAGGCACCTTCACCATCTAGGTGTCTCGAATTGCAAACGGTGGGTTAGGAGGTTGCTCGGAAGTGGTCCATCACATTTACGCTCGAATGTGATACCAAGTAGACAATGATTGTCTCATTATTTTGGACCAATAGGAGTAAAATAATTAGTCCAAGAACAAATGGTTAGGTTAGTAACTTGGAATATAGGAACACTTTCATGAAAGGGGTTAGATTTGATAGACACTATGATAAGAAGAAGAATAAATATTATTTGCTTATAAAATACTAAGTGGGTAGGAAACAAATCTTGAGAGATTAATAGTACTGGATTTAAAATTTGGTATACTGAAAAAGTTAAACACATAATTAGTATAGAAATTGTTATTGATAAGGATCTTAATAACAATATTGTAGATGCAAAAATATTTGGAGATAGAATTACGGTTCTAAAATTTGTAAAATGACAAGATGTTTTGAATGTTATTAGTGCTTATGCCCCTTAAGTCGGATTGGATGATCAAACCAAAAGAGAATTAAAAAAAAACATAGATGATATCATTTAATGAATGTTTATAATAAAAAAACTTATAATTGGATGAGATTTGAATGGTCATGTAGGGAAAACATATAGCGAATATAAAAAGGTGCATGATGGCTTTGGTTATCAGGAGAGAAATGAAAATGGTGATATGATTTTGGATTTTGTAACTTCGTATGATCTTATAATTGTAAATACTCACTTTAAGAACAGAGATTAACATTTGATTACTTATAAAAGTAGTCATAACTGTAGTCAAATAAATTTTTTTCTCATTAGAAAGAAAGATAAAATTATTTGTAAAAATTGTAAAGTTATACCTAACGAATTGACGAATCAACATCAATTGATGGCATTAGATATTTACTATAGAAAATAAAAATAAAAATAAAAAAATTACTAGGACTAGATGATGAAATTTTAAAGATAATAATATAAACACTTCTAAGAATATGATGGAAACGGAGACAACTTGAAACTAAGACGAGGATAATATTGATATTATTTGGACCACGATGACCAATAAAATTAGGAGTTTAACAAAAGAGATTCTTAGTGAAACTAAAGGTAGAGGTGTAACCGTAAGAGAGAGTTGGTGGTGATGCGAGGAAGTTCAAAAATCAATTTTTACTAAAAGATCATGTTTTAAAGATTGCCTATAAATATGAGAAACAATTTAAAAGATATAAAGTATCTATAAAAGAGGCTAAAAAACGATTATTATGGCAAGATATAAAAAGCCTATGATAATTTTTATAATAAATTAGGTACTAAAAATGATGAAAAATATGTATATCAAATTGCTGAAGCTAGGGAAAAAAAGTACAAGGATTTACGAAATATTAGATGCATTAAAAACGAAGATCAAAGAATACTTATTAATGATAACGAGATTAAGGAAAGACGAAAGATTATTATTATAAATTATTTAATGAAGATTCCACACAAGATTTAAATTTGACGATAAATAATAGTGGTAGATTTAATAATTATAGATTTGTTTGTAAAATTAGAGCTAGCAAAGTAAAAGACGCATTAAAGAAAATAAAAATAGTTAAGAATGTGGGGCTTGATGATATTCCTATTGAGGTCTAAAATTTAAGGGACAAGAGAGTAATTTAGTTAACTTATTTAACAAAATCATGAGATACGAAAGGATGTTTGATGAATCGAAAAAGTTTTTAAGTTCAAATTTATAAAAATAAAGGTGACATACAAAATTATTCAATTATAAAGGAATTAAAATCATGAACCACATTATGAAATTTTGGGAAAAAGTTATCGAAAGTAGGATAAGACTTGAAACAAATATCTTTGAAAATAAATTTGGTTTTATGCTTGAAAGATCAATTATAGAAGCTATTTATTTATTAAGATAACTAATAGAAAAGTATAGGGGAAAAAAAAGATTTGTATACAGTTTTTATTGACTTAGAGAAAGCCTATGACAGGGTTTTTAGATATATATTATGGTGGATTTTTTTTAAAAAAGTGTACCTATCAATTATATTAATGCTATTAAAGATATGTATGATAATATAGCTACTAATATTAGAGCTATAAAGAGGGTGTCTAGTGAGTTTTCTATTAACATAAGATTATATCAAAGATTCGCATTAAGTCCATACCTTTTTACATTGATAATGACGGAACTTACTAGTTACTTACATAATACACCTCCCTGGTGCATATTATTTACTGATGATATTATCTTAGTTGATGAAAGCCTAAGTAAAATTAATTATAAATTTAAGCTATGGAGGAAAGCATTAGAAACTAAAAATTTTAAATTAAGTAGGATTAATACTGAACATATAAAATGCAATTTTAGTGATTCTAAGAATAGATAGGAGAATATAGTTGGATGGACAAGAAGTCCCTATAAGTAAAAGTTTAAGGTATTTTGGATTAATTATTCAACAAGATGGAGAGATCGATAAAATATTAATGGTACGATAAGAGGTAGAGGAAGACCTAAAAAGACTTTAATAGAAACTATAAATAAAGATTTAAGTACTCTGAACTTAACTAAACATATGGCTTTTTACAAATCTTAATATCGATAAAAGATCTATATAGTCAACCACAAATATTTAGAACTTACGACTTTATTGTTGTGACTATAAACATTACACATGGATCCTTAAGATCTATGATTTGAATCTTGGATTATATGCATAAAATGCTACTCCATCTATTCCCCATCTTGAGACTAAGTAGATGGAATAATCAATTGGCCACCAGTGTTGTTGACGTTGCTACTATCTCTACGGACCTCGTAAAGCACTAACCAAGGTTCGCAATACCGTACCGTACCGGAGTTTCGACCTGGGCTCGGTACCGGTACGGTATGGTATACCGCTCGGTACACCCAGGTGTACCGAGCGGTATATTCAGGCGTGCCGAGTGCTACAGTACTGCTACAGTACTGGACCGGTAACAGGCGGTCCGCGTACCGGAAGCTTGTCGGACCGGTACGTACC